CTTAATAACTTCACATGTATGTTTATTTTCAAAATGTAGGTATGTATGTGTTCCCCAGTTTGTACATGGGCTACCAGCAGCTGTGAGATTTCAGTGATAATTTTTTTTTTGTACAATACACTAGGAACTAGTGGACTTTTCTTGGCTTTTAAGTAAAACAAAATGAGTATAGCAATAAATCATTTTTATTTTTTTCCTTAACCTCATACTGTTCCTATTGTCTATAGAATAACAACAACAACAACAAAAAGCACGTGTCAAGCCATGAGAACCGAACCGAAAACCGTGTTAAAAAACTAAGGTATGTATTGAACCGTGGGCTAACTGTATTGTTGCATCCTAATATATACACACACACACACACACACACACAGGGCTCAACAATAAGGAATGCCCGATGGCCCGGGGCCAGCATGAGAAACTCTGGGGAGAGTAGACAGGATCATTACTGGCCCGATCTGTGCCTGCGACTATTTGTCAATTGTGTGCAAATTCGGTCTTAGAATCAAGAGTTTGTGCTTTTAAGCCTATTAAAGCTACCCTCTCTGTGATGTCATAAACACCCTATTGCTTTTCGGTTCCTCTTATCAAATTGGATGTTGTGAGCACCTTTTTAAAATTTTTTTGTAACCTGGTAACAACCAGTACAGTAAAGATACAACAATATGGTGGATGGTGGCAACATCAAATTATGAGGCTAAAAGAAAACGCTTCGAGCATCTTTTAGAAAAGAAGACTTTCCATGGGTACAATATGACAAAAAAATAAAGTGATGTTTTGCACAGTTTGCCGTCATTTGGCAAGTCAGACACATTTTGTTACATAATTTAGAACTGCAATAAAATACTTGCACATTTTCCATACTGCTCTTTTAAATTGCATAACACTTTGAATTTTGCTCATCATACATTTATTAACATTTTTGTAATATTTACATTCTAGATTCACAGACATTATCTTTGACACATGATTTAAAAAATGTGATTAAGAAATAGCTATTAACTTTTGTTTTTTGGTAGAGCTTGTGAAAATTTTGTTAGGGCAGGTAAAAATATAAATCTTTAGTGTTGAACCTTGATATATATATATATTAGACCTGAAATAGACAAAATTCCAGAATATTCCAGAAATGCCATGACCCATAGAAACCCTGCATTTATAAATTAATAATGATTATGTTTGTATTTTAATAATTATTAATAAATATTTACATTTAAAAAGCCTATAAAAAATATCAGAACTCATCTGGTAGTGTAAACACTGGCATTTGTTCTGCCACAGGATGTCAGCATATGTAAAGTCTGAGCAACACATTCCTAACATCCTTCTGACATTTCACAAAAGCATCATAATGAAAGTAGAAGTTGGCGTGAGCTTAAGGGTACTGATTAATCCCACTATTTCCTTCACTTCCTGTGATTTAGACTGAGAATGAAGAGCCGCTTCCTGTCAGGAGGAGGGCCAAGGAAATTTCTCTTTCTGAACCGTCTGTAAATGTCAAACGCGTCGCTTTTCAGCTTTCAAACGGCTCTGCAAGCTTTGGGAATTATCTGACATCATCTACAGCAAAATTGAGTCCACCAAAAAAGAGGCCCACCAATCCCAGCTCGTAAATAACAACACGTGTGATTGGCTGCCCGCAGGCATGATGTCACTGGGTCAGTCCAGCTGTGTGTCCCACATTTCAGATAGTCAGTAGGTTAGAAACAAGCTGGCTAGACAAGAGGTAGGGTTGTCAAAAGTATCGAGTACCAATTCACTCATTCATTTTCCTTTATTTTTCAGAGGACGCCACAGCGGAATGAACCGCCAACTTATCCAGCATATGTTTTACAAAGCGGATGCCTTTCCAGCTGCAACCCAGTACTGGGAAACACCCATATACTCTCATATGCAAACACATACAGTACAGTCAATTTAGTTTATTCAATTTAGCGCATGTCTTTGGACAGTGGGGGTAACCGGAGCACCGGAAAGAAACCTACGCCAACACGGGGAGAACATGCAAACTCCAGACAGAAATGCCAATTGGTCAAGCCGGGACTCGAACCACAACCTTCTTGTTGTAAGTCGACAGTGCAAACCACTGAGCCCCCTTGTCACCCTCGAATACCAATTAGTACTGATTTTAAAAAATAAAAAGTCTATTTCCCGATAACTTTTCAGCGAATTCTTAAACACAGCTGATTGGCCATTGTGTTCACATGCTCAACAGAAGTGACTGTCGTCATCAATGAAGGTCATCAATGGCCAATCAGCAGTGTTTAAGAAGGTGCTCAACAGCGCTCAAATTAGTAATAGGAAGTTCGGATCATTTTACTGACTGACCTTTGTGATAAACGAATCCTTTTTCCGAGTCATTTCTTTAAATTTGCTAAAATATTTTTTAAATATTTTTAAATGTGTTGCTTCAAAACACATCTACAACTAGCTCAAATATTGATCACACTACAAACAAGTCATATCTAGAATGCTATAAGAGAAAATTATCATTTATTGTTTTCCCCTGGGTCTTTTGTCAATGATTAACTCAGCTCACGTCTTCTGACATGTCTTCAAATTTGAGTCGTTCGTTCACGTGACACAATCAGTCCCATATAAGCTTAACCAATGAACACAGTCTGAACCTGAAGGACCAGCCTAATCTCACGAAGAAACGCAAGTATTTTACGTTTTACCAGTTTAGTGGCTAATTCGCACGAGTTCAGACGTACAAAAGTGTACGATTTTAAAAAGGAGGCGTGGCACCCAACCCCAACCGTCATTGGGTAATGAGCAAATCGTACTAAATTGTACAAATTAAATCGTACAAATCCATACGAATTAGCCACTAAATTAAAAAGTTATGAATTGCCATGAGAGTGCGTTGGAAGGACCCATGATTAGTTCACCTTTCGAGTCTTCATGTTTTTGAGTTGTTCATTCTTCACATGACAGCATGTAAAGAGACGGCTCAAAACCGAGGATAATTAAATAAACGGATCAAATATTTTTCTGGCTCTCACGTCATATGATTGGCTTGTGTCTTTCACATGATGAACAAACAACTCAAACCCGATAGAAGATTCATAAAAGGAACTAATCGCTGAGTCCAAAATCGTAGTATGTTAAAAAGAGTATGCCAAAGGTTCCCAGATCCAGTAAAAATTCGAAGTGTAGAACTGTTTATACTCAGTACACTGCGCGTTGGACATGAATTCGATTAGAACTACAAATGCGGGTGAAAAGTGTAAATAAACTACCAACGTCATGTAGAGAGGCTTCGGTAAAGATGTTTGTATGCTAATCAATTCTAGCTAACTGGAAACAAAATTTAATTGCATTTTCTGTGTTATATTTTATCTGCAACAACAATACTGAACTTATTTAAAGACTTGTTTGGACATTAACGTCTGAATCCATAATTATTCAAAGACCCGAGAAGATTTCTCTGCATGAAAGACTCGTGAATGGGAAATTAATCTGATGCTGCTTCTCCAATAAAGTAGGAAATTGAAATGTGGAATGTAAAACAGAAATGTGGATGATGTTTGTATGATTGACAGGGCTCATGACGAGGCCCACACGGAATCTGCGCGCACAGAATTCCGCAGATTTTCAGCCCATCACTGATCCTGTTATTTACTTCTGTAAATGTGTGTAAAGTCATATTCATTCAGTTTTTTAATTAATTTCAGTAACATTATTGACTCATATGAAAATATTTATATGATTTATTTACAATATAGTTTGTAAAGTAATATGTTCTGTCTTTTAGGAGATATATTATATGAGAGACTTGCTTTGTTTACCAAATAAAGTGGATATGATTGAATTTGCATTGTAAACATTAAATAAAAGTTAAAAAAGTATTACTTTTTATTTCATATATTAAGGTTTTAGTTATGATACTCCTAAAATCATTCAGCATAAATGCACCCAGTTTTACCAATATTCTGCGCAGAAATCTCAAAAAATGCCGATTCTGTCTGGCCCGACTCATAACTAAGCAACACAATGTATTAACGAGGAAGTCCCAAAGCTTGCATACTCTTCTGTTACACACTTAAAGTATATATTTTTCTTTCACAAAATAAGTACATACTTTTAGGGTGTAGTATAAGTATGCGAATTAGGATGTGGCAAATATTTTCCCCCACCTGCACAAATGTGCACATGCGCGAATGATAGAATTATTCCCAGAGCCAACATAAAAAATCCAGCCATCATTTACTCTCCCTTACATTGTAAGATATTTTAAAGAACGTGTCAGCTGAATAGCATTTTTTAATATCACATATATATTATTATTACAGTTTTATTATTGTTATATTTTCATTTTTATTGATGATTTGAATTGCAATTAATTTTAATATCTGTTTTGATGTTAATTTTAGTTAAAGATGTCATTTTATTTTGTTCGATTTTTATTCTGTTTGTTACTTTTAGTTTCATTTTGATTTATACTTTGCTTCAGGTTCAACCAAATAAGTTATACCCACTAACTTTTTAACTTTAACTGGCAGGTATAATATTTATTTAGCTGATTTATTTATTTATTTTTATTTGAGGTTTACTTTATATCAGATTCCCAAAAAAAAAGTTATTACTTTCAGAAGTCAAGACATTTTTCTAAATATGTTCTTGTTTTTCACAGATAAAATAACATCAATTTTTGATTAACTTTCGATCCAAGCTAATTGGATAGTTCACCCAAAACTGAAAATCTACTCACTATTCACTCACCCTTAATTAATTATACCTTAATTAATTATAAACCTTTTTGAGTTTCTTATTGAGATATTTTGAAGAAAGCTGTAAACATGTAACCACTAACTTCCAAAACAAACACAGTGAAAGTCAATGGTTACAGGTTTTCAACTTCCTTCAAAATATATTATTTTGTGTCAAACAGAAGAAAAAAACTCAAACAGTGAAGTGAAGGGTGAGTAAATGATGACAGAACTTGTAATTTTGGGTGAACTATCTCTTTAACTTAAGTTCAACCAAGCTCACTTTACCTTTCTGCAGGTGGATGATGTCTGGAAAGTTAGACAGCAGGCCCTGGTACAGCGACAGTTTGTCCAGCATCTGAAACAGGTCATTTTTGGGTTGATCTGCAAACATCTCCCCGATGTTCTCGTAGGTGCGTCCTGTGTGTGAGATGGCATTGCTCAGAGCGTCCGAACTATAAGGGGGATCCAACAGGAACGATTGGCTAATGGACTGAAACCCATTTCCCAGCCTCTGAAACTCCTTCCTGAATCCTCCAAGGTGTTTGCGAACTAATTCCGATGCGACATTTGTAAGCTGCATCACGCTGTCATCCATCTTTTTAGCGAACGATTTAAAGGAGTCGATGCGCTCCTCAACATCCTGAAGGTCCTGATGCTCATTGGGGATCTGGAAGGTTAGCATGAAATGAGCGCCGACCATCTCATCCTTCTCTGCTCTCCTCTTCCCGAGCTTCCACTGTTTATCATCTCCGCACATCAGAAAGTGTTCGAAACCTTCATACTGAGACAGCACGGGATGGCTAGTCATGTGGTCCATCCATAAAATAAGCCTCCTCTTTCGCTTCTCGATGAAGTCTTCTTCGAATCGTCCTGTGGCTTGTTTTTCTGGAAGGTGCGGTACGGAGATGACTGTGAATTTGTGTAGTAGTCTGTTGTAGAGCCAGTCAAAGTGCTTGTAACGTCGGTATACAGGCCGTCCGGTGTGACTAGGGGTCACACGGTATGAGATGTACGTCTTAATGCCTTTGAATTTGGTTTGTTTTGTTGGGTCTTCAATGGAACAGGAGAACGGACGAGGGTTATCCATCCATTGTGGGCCCCTCGGGCCCATTTCAATAGAGTAAGACTCTGCGATTTTAGCCATCATGGGAACGTCGCCAAGTATGAAGGCTTCCACACCTGAACGCACGAAGCTGGAGAATCGATTCAAGTTCCTGCCGACCATACTACCCTTTCTGTTGCTGGACATGCTGTCCTGGCGGTCCATGTAAGGCTTGCTGCGATAGTGGACGTTTGGGTTGGAATATTGGTTTTGGGAATGTCCATTGGCGCCTCTTCGATGGTCGTCATCTTCAACGACTGTTGAAGTTTCATCCCAGTCGTCCCAATCATCATCATCGTCGCTAGGCAGGGTTGTGGAGGGTGTGTGGATATATGATAAATCTTTTCCAGGAGAACTTCCAGGTGAGCTAAAGGATTGATCTGTCAGGTTGGACCCAGATCTGCTTCGGATAATGTGGACATATGAGGCCGGGAACAGACCTCGCTCTCCTCTGCTGTTTTCACCTTGCAGCCAGCCGTCCACTGAGTTTTCATCAAAAATCACCAGCTCCTCATTCTCCTGGATGTTGATCTCCTCCTTGTTCTCGCTTTGGAAAGTGTAGAGGGCTTTGGCTCTCAGGGACATTTTTGTAACGTTTGCCCGCAAAAATGTGCACAAAAATAAGTCCCCTTTACCTCATATTAGATCAAAGCAAAGAAAAAATGACTTAAAAGTAAACTTGAGGTACAGTACAGCACTGGTTGATAATGTATTCATAGCACTTTTAAACTAAATTAGTAGTTTGTTAACATGTGATCTTATAGTAGAGTTTTTAGAGATGCTTTTACAAATGAGATATTATGAAAATATAATAGCCAATATTCTACATTTGTAAGTAAAGTGTTACATGTTGGACTCCCCTTGTCAGGTTGTTGTTATTCTCCAAACTTGCCTTAATTTATGCCGTTTCATTATTCCGCAAAACCAGAATCTTCAACCGCAAAAAAACAAATAAACCCATAAATCCACAAATCCCGTCCAGCAGATGTGAGACACCGGCAAACGCATTCAGTTCAGGGCTTCCTCAGAACCATCTGATGGTTTTAGCCATCTTGCATGGTGTAAAGTATGGTAAAAACAAACACAAACAGCTGTTTTGCAATTCCGGTTAACCTAAATTCCAGATGAAAACATTTCGGATGGGAAATAAACGCGTCCAGTGCATTCCGCCAACAAAAGAAGAAGAAAAGTTCATCTAAAGCATCTTCATAATCCACAGATCCGCTTCAGATCGCGGTGTAGTCGTAGTATTTCCTTCGAGATGTGATTCAACAGGCCAGTGGAGAGATTTTGGTGAAGTATTTCTTTACTTTAAGCAGAAACGCAGTAACTCTTTCCATGACGTGACGATCGAACAATGAGAGCAGCAGCGCAGTTTGGCTCTGAGGTAAAAACAATCGCGTTTGTGGCGCCACTCGGCGGTCAACAACACAACTGACCTGCGGATTTAAACACTTGTCGGTTGCTAGTGAACTCAAAACACTCCACTAGCTAGTGTACAAATTTGGGCTGGGGCTTACGTGCACAATTTTCCCCAGAAAATTGAGAATCCTTCAATTGTGTTATAAAGAGTTTGTCACCAAGTTATGTGCATTTATTTAAAACATTTCTTTCCCTTGATGAGAGGAAAACATTTATGCCTACACTTTTTTTTGGTTAAGTGTCTTTTTTGATGAAAAATCTGACAATATACAGTTGAAGTCAGAATTATTAGCCCCCCTTTGATTTTTTTTCTTTTTAAAATATTTTTTAAATTATGTTTAACAGAGCAAGGAAATTTTCACAGTATGTCTGATAATATTTTTTCTTCTGGAGAAAATCTTATTTGTTTTATTTTGGCTATAATAAAAGCAGTTTTAAATTTTTTAAAAAACCTTTTAAGGACAAAATTATTAGCCCCTTTAAGCTATTTTTTAATCGATAGTCTACAGAACAAACCATCGTTATACAATAACTTGCCTAATTACCCTAACCTGCCTAGTTAACCTAATTAACCCAGTTAAGCCTTTAATTGTCACTTTAAGCTGTATAGAAGTGTGTTGAAAAATATTTAGTAAAATATTTACTGTCATCATGGCAAAGATAAAATAAATCAGTTATTAGAGATGAATTATTAAAACTATTATGTTTAGAAAAGTGTTGAAAACATCTTCTTTCCGTTAAACAGAAATTGGGGAAAAAATATATACAGGAGGGCTAATAATTCATGGAATTTAATAATTTCATTTTCATTTCTCAAATGAAGTTTACACTTAAGTGCACAGCTATATATATTTGTCCCATACATGAGCTTATTTGTCTTGTTTTGACTGCTATTCCATCATAAATTGTGAAAAAAACCCATTTATTTTTCATGAGTCCAACATCTGTGCAAAAAAAACATACAATCTGACGAAAGTTAAGTGATCTTTTACTACTGTATTGTTGTTAAATGGAGAAAACATTTTACAAGTAACTTTATTTTAAATCTTTGACTTTATTCATGAAACAAAAAAATTATCAATAAAAAGGTGTGAAGCACCATAAGTGGGCCCTATTAAATTTCATTCTTATACTTTTCAGGCTATTGTTGAAATAAAAATAAGCTACAGTTTTTATAAAAAAAAAAGAATTAACGAATCATATATATATATATATATATATATATATATATATATATATATTTATTTATTTATTTATTTATTTATTTATTTATTTATTTATTTATTTAGTTATGATAAATCATCTAATAAATTAGCATTTTGAAGTTTTTTGTTTTTTTTTCAAAATCATTAAGGAAATCAAAAAGTTTGGCTTTGATGACCAGCTGACAAGCTTGACACTAAAAAGTGCTTAAAATGTCATTAAAATGCAGTATTTAAACCTCATAATTAAAAAGAAAATGACGCAAATAACTGCAAAAAGGTCTACTTTTTGAGAAAAAAGAACCATCCCTTTCACCAGGCTGGCTCTATATATACACAGTTGAAGTCAGAATTATTCGCCCCTCTGTTTATTTTTTTCCCCAATTTCTGTTTATCGGAGTAAAGATTTTTTCAACACATTTCTAAACATAATAGTTTTAATAATTAATTTCTAATAACTGATTTATTTTATCTTTGCCATAATGACAGTAAATAATATTTGATTAGATATTTTTCATGACACTTCTATACACCTTAAAGTGACATTTAAAGGCTTAACTTGGTTAATTAGGTTAACTAGGCAGGTTAGGGTAATTGGGCAAGTTATTGATAACAATGGTTTGTTTTGTAGACTATCGAAAAAAATTATCTTGAAGGGGCTAATAATTTTGACCTTAAAATTAGTGTGAAAACAATTTAAACTGCTTTTATTCTAGCCAAAATAAAACAAATAAGACTTTCTCCAGAAGAAAAAATATTATCAGACATACTGTGGAAAATTCCTTGCTCTGTTAAGCATAATTTGGGAAATATTTAAAAAAGAAAAACATTCAAAGGGGGGCTAATAATTCTGACTTCAACTGTATAGCTTATTCTTTTAATGTATAATTTTTTTATTTGCTTTGGAACTTGCAAAGTAACATATTTTTATATTATGATATTGATTGTTCTAATGTATATATATTTAGATCTTTAAAATTTATTTTAGTAAAATATTATTGGAGTGGGATAAAGATAAAATAAAATAATTCATTGGTCAGTTCTGGTCAGGCCTGAGAAAACTATAACAGTAACTATAACTCAAAGCTGTATTTATTTATTTTTTTTATTGACATAAGTAACAGGAAATACATAAAACATTAATTTGTGCTAATATTGTGTGACCTGAATACAAATACATATTATACATATTTATTGTACATCTTGTAACTAAAATGATACAAGGGATGAGGGAAAAAAACAATACATTAAAAAAGAAAAACATTTAAAGAAACACAAAAGAAGAAAATATGAATATATATCCAAAGAAATAAAACATAAATATCTCAAACTATACTTAGATTATTAGGAATGACACATAGGCGTACCAAAAAGGCATTCGATAACTTAAAGGAAGGGCCAGATGAAATCTGCTGACATTTTTTGCTATTTCTGCTGAGAATTTTGGTTAAAAAAAAATCGGTGGATTTCTGTGGAATTGTTTTGGGAGTATAATAACTAAAACATTAATATGTGAAATTAAAAAATATATCTTTTAAACTTTTATTTAATGTTTAAAATGCAAATCCAATTAGATTCACTTGATTTGGTAAACAAAGCAAGTCTCTCATATAATATATCTACTAAAAGACAGAAAATATTACTTTACAAACTGCATTGTACATAAATCAGATGAACATTTTTATATCAATCAATAATATTACTGTAATTAATTTAAAAACTGAATAAACTTAGATTTACTCTAGTAAATAAACAGAATTAATGATTGACTAAAAATCTGCGAAATTCCGCGCGCGCAGATTCCGTCTGGACCTGCTTAGAGGTAATGATTATAATGATAATATTATTTTTTTCAGCAGTTCAGTTGTTTTAGCAGCTCAGGCAAACAGATTCTATAACTAAGAGTATAACTGACGCTGTATCAAACTCCGCGACAAATTTCGGTCGGCCGCGTTGAGGCGTGATGACGTCAGTGCGCCATCGCGTTTGAAACGTGTTTTTCTTTCCGCACAGGAGTTTGTGCATTTCATTCGTCCGATTCATTTTTACTCCCATAAATCATGAGTAGATCACTTTAGAGCAGCTCGCATGGGATTGTGATCACGTGTTTACTTTCTCTCTCTGCCTGCAGTCTGTTTATCCGTAAGTTACGTGACCTGCCAGAGTTTATGTGTGTTTATCTATTTATGTGAAGTGTTAGTCATTTGCATTTATAAATGTATGTAATGTAAGGGGTTTCTGAAGTATCTGTTAACACGCATCAGACGCACATTTTGGCGTGTGTCGCGATGTTCTAAGCTCGTCTCTTATCTTTGTACAATCTGTGGTCTGTATGTTGTCACAGGTCCGCCATGGAGGCTCTGACCGAGGCTCTGTCCGGCAGTTTCTCGGTGTCCAGGGAAATAAACAGCACATCTGCTCCTCATCCCCGCCTGGCGCAATACAAGAGCAAATACAGCGTGCTGGAGCAGGGAGAACGGCGCAGGAGGTTCCTGGAGCTGCAGAAAGAGTGAGTGTAGTTTCTTGCTAGTAGTACTTGCGTATTTAGATAACAGTATATTTTCCATTAAGTACCAGTGCTTATTCAGCATCTACTAGTGATTACTATTGTAGTGCTGTTTCTTTTCTAACAACATATTTTTTTATAATACACCAGTACTTATTCAGTAGATATTGTTCTTCCATATTCCTTGGAGCCTTGGAGAACAGTGAATGGGATAGTTTCGCACAAGTACTGGTATCTAATGAATATCTGGATGATTGTGTTTTTAGGAAGAGGCTGAACTACGTGAATCACGCTCGTCGTCTGGCGGATGGAGACTGGAGCACAGCCGACAGTGAGGATGAGGAGGAGGCAGAGAAGAAGAGTCTGCAGACGGAGAACGGCGCAGATGAAGAGGGCATGGAGGTCGAGCCGAGGAAAAAACTGCCCAAACATTACGCCAACCAGGTGCTCACAAATCACTGATGCGTAAACAGAACAAAACGGAAGGATTCTAAAGTTTTTTAAATACATTTTTTTTATTTTTTAAAATTGTAATTATTAATATTTAAATATTAAATAGGTATCAACTCTTCTTTATTTGTTATTTTTGTTTATTTAATTGGTATCATCTCTTCTTGAAATATGAAGTTGTAATTGAAGTTATTATTATGTCATATGGTTTTATTTATAATGATCTTGCCATTAAATAATCGTAAGTTTCTGATGTGGCAATACTAAAGCAAACCAACAAATAGGTTTCCTATAAAATATTTGTAATATAGGAATTACTAACCTACGACACATGAGGTCACACGGGTTCCCAGTTGCAAAAAAAGACCAGTTGCAACAGCAAACATGTCCTGTTGTGCGGTAGGATGCCAAATTCAAAATAAATGGATTGAGGACTTAATTAAACATGCTTGACTCTGCAGTTCTCAGTTTATATCAGGTAAGCTCACGCTATGCTAAATCAAACACATTAGTTTTGATTGCAGCAATGTATGATTTCAGGAAAAACTGTTAAAGAGCCCATATTATACATGAAATAGGGTCATATCTTGGTTGTAAGGGTCTCCAACAACAGTCTAATATGCATGCAAGGTCAAAAAACACTTTCATGGTCTTATAATCTGCATTTATTTTTACCTAATTATCCCAGCGACTCCTGTATGAATCGTCCAGTGATTCATTTGTTCCCAAACCCCTCCTTAGCGTGAAGCTAATCTGCGCTGATTGGACCAATGACAGTCTGTTGCGATTGGTCGACTGCCTTCAGTCAGAGAGTGAAATGCCAAACAGCTAATCAGCAATATAAAAGTAATCACAGTTCATACACGCTCGATAGTGTAGGCGTGGATTTTAGCTGCCTGTGGGTGAATGTAAATGCAGACTATGGACTTGAAAATTCAGACGACTATTTTATTGAGCAAAAACTCCAAAAACAGTTGAGGAGATCTCCTAGCTTCTCACTCTGCTCTTTTAACAGACACACACACACATATTGCACACGCACACGCATTTAACCCTGCTCCGGACGACAGCGCGTGCGCGCACACACACACACACACACACACACAAACACACACACCTCCGGACGACAGCGCGCGCACACACAGACACACACACTACTCCTCGTCCAAGGAGCTCCGTTAACAAAGCAGCACGCGCCGCGTTTTTAACCTGACTTTGCACGCGATAAGAGAATATAGCCAGTTAACCTGATACAGTACACGCGGTTACAATTAACAAATCACAACTAAACACATTTGCAAGCTAGAGTCAACGAGGCAACAACTTTAATCGCACGTACTTACACTTGAGAAATGGAGGAAGAAAAATCCATCCTGACATCCATCAGTAAGTTACTCTTTACTGATCCTTCCTTTAACAAACGCTGATGAAGTATTCTTTGTAGCATGTAGTTTACAGAAGTTTCCAGTAGTTTCCAACTGCTTGGCTATAATGCTGAGGTTTCATCTTTGGGTAGAGACTCAATATATCCATCTGCAGTGTGACTTCAATCGACCGCCATGTTTGTGTGTGTGTGTGTTTGTGGGTGGGTGTGTGTGTCTGTGTGTCTGGGTTTCTGCGTCAGAGGGCGGGGCCTCAGGTTTGAAATCTCCCGGGTTTGCGTGTGCACGTGAATAACTTGGTTTCGTTCGTACGTTATGGTGAAACATCTAATGAATCGGTATCAAGGCGACTCGTTTGAAGCACTATGAGTCCACTCTTTTATAGATGAATCAACAGTTTTAAACACTGTACACTAACAGATTAAAGCCTTAGCTGGATACTTCACTTCACTTAGAGCTGTGTTACACACTACATGGAGGGGAATTTTCAAAAACCCATAATATGGGCTCTTTAAATATAGTTCATTAAACTGCGGACACTGAATGCTAAGAATGAAATGTAAACATGTACGTTCACATACCCTGCTGTACAAGTGCAGTTCGCTGTCAGAATGCAGTGGTTTTGCTTGTTGATGATTACCCAGGCCTTGTACTGCTCCGTCTTCTTTCCTTGTCTTTGGCTAGGCAGAACCTCGGTCTTTAACACTACATAGTTTTGAATCTGGTAATCATGGAGCATTACTTCTTGAACATGACCACACACAACAACATTGTTGGCATCTAAATACTTGTAGGCCTTTAACTTCTCTCTTGTAAAACCACTTGGAGCTTCAATGAGATAGGTGTATATTTCGGGCTGGATGCTTGGCCATTTCGTCTATCGCAAATGGACCTGTCAGACGAACGCTGCTCACTTTAACGTTAATTTTGCCGAATAACTGTGCTAATTACTAGGTGACCAACTGTTATAATACGCTGAAAGCATTATGTAAATAATATATATAATACATAATCAATATAACTTATTTCTAAGACAACAACAAACTCTGTACCGCATCGGATGTCATTCCTTCGCTGTAAATGCTAGCACTTTTCTGCACCCTTGCTGCGCGTGCATTCCTGAATGTTTACAAACCGCTAATTCGTCTATAGCTTAATAGAAATTAGACTCGGATAAGTATTTACAAATTTTATATATACATTTTATACTAAATATTTTAACTTTAAAATGCATCAAATGCTATAAAAGTGGATGATTATGTCTGAAACGGTTATCATATTTTTAATTATATATAATATTTTAAAAACCTTATATATAATAGTATGATATTACAAAAGATTACCAATGTGAATAGAGCTTTTAGATTGCATTACATTAAAAAATCATTCTTGCGTTTTGTAGCAAATACATTGCAATAAAAATACGTGTTTTATACTATAGTTTTCCGACTCCATTATAAGTATAATATATTTTTCTCTTTTTAAATTAAAAGTGGGTACTTGCATGAATATATAAAGCGTTTATGTATATATTCTTAGTTTATATTTTTATTTATTATATACTTTGTTAAATTAATGTAAAATTATTTATATCAAAAGTCCCTGTCTGGTGTCTAGTCGATTTATTCACTTCCAGTGTTTCCTCTAGGAATTTTTCCAGTTGTGGCGGCAGACCTTTTTTTTTTTTTTTTACACAGATCTACCAACTACCTGTGCCGTTATTTCAATGACAAATGTCGTGAGTGCAGTATTACAAGTCGAGATCGCATTTATGTAATAGCCTACGAGCATGCTAATCTCTTTGCTTGTGCGCCGATTTCCTCTGCTCGTGCACAAAACTTCTTGCACGCCCTCAAATGTGCTCAAGCGCAGATCTTCTAGTGCGCTCTCAAATAAAAGCTGCAGAAGTGCGATTTAGTGCGTTTATGTAACAAGTATGTCTCCCAACGTTTATTAGATTTGCTAGGAATATTTTATAAATGTCTCCAATAGACCTAGAGAGCGGGATTAATGCATCCTGAAGTAAAGTGAAATGACTATGTCGTGATTGCTGGCCTCACGCACCTGTCAGTCAGTCAGCACGTAACCTAAAAGGGTCAAACAAATGACGCACAGCACTACTACGGTTACAGAAAAGTTTGCGCTGTTATAATTCACTTACCCTTTAATAAGTTTGATTGAGATTATCTCCCGCTCTTTAAAAAAATAAAAAACACGACTGAATGTTTTAAATGCAAAGCTGTAATGCAGCCGTGGTGGGATCAGTTTTGGCGTGGCGCCCAGCCATGGAAGAATAAATGTAGTGGAAACCATGACTTCAAATATACCTTTTATTTCATTAAATTTGTATAATTATGTCATTTAATATTATATTTAGATGTTTTATTTAATTCCATGTTTATACAATTGTTTGTTAATGCCATCTCTGTTCTCCAGCTGATGTTGTCAGAGTGGTTGGTGGATGTTCCTGCAGATCTGAGCTCTGATTGGCTGATGGTGGTTTGTCCAGTTGGGAAACGGTCACTTGTTGTCGCATCCAAGGTTTGGATCATTTTACATCCCTACAGTACTATACTTTGCCATACTCCAGTACTTTAAAAAAAATTGAAAATTAATACTGTGAATGACAGTAAAATAAGCATTTATATTGATATGAAAGATTTCTTGGGGTTTTGTTTATGAGTGAGGGAAGGGTGGAACGTGAGATTGACAGGTGGATTGGTGCAGTGGATGCGGTTGATGTATTGGTCCATTGTTGTAAAGAAGGAGCTGAGCCGAAAGGCAAAGCTCTCGATTTACCGGCCAATCTACGTTCCTACTCTCACCTATGGTCCTGAACATTTTGAGTTTACTCGCTTCATTCGCGTGTCAAATCCACTTCATTCAGGCGTCAGATTCACTGAGCAACGGATGCGGATTCGCATCATAGACAGGGTTTCTGTCTGCCCAGTGACTGTAGCTTTGTTGCTAAATGGCTAACATGGATTTTATTGAGAGAATAGCTGTGTTTATGTGCTTTATGAAGGCTGAAAAACAGCGTCAATTCATTTGGAGCCGTGTCTAAGTGCACTAGATCCTTTTAGAGGTGCACCCAGCTCTGTGAGTTCATCAACTCCAGAAACTACACCTGGATGATGGAGGCTTTCAGTGGTGCTTTCGACTGAGCCCAGCCCAGTTTGATCAACTGTTGTCCGGGGTCGGCAGGAGGATTTTCCCCTGGGACACCAACAACAGGTGCTACATCATAAGCATGCCCCTACGAGAGTAAGCTCCTGATTGGTTAACGTGGCGCGAATGTACGCTGAAGTTCAGATTTTCGAACTTTAGCGATTCGCAAGAAATGTTTGCTAATCGTGTCAATCGTGCAAAACTGCGCAATTCGCATGAATGATGTCTATTTGCGTCTTTGCATTGACTTTAGGCGCTTCTTTTGCATCTGGTGTGAACGGAGCATTAAGCCTGGTTTATACTCGATGCGGCCGCTTGTTCGCTTGAGTGCGCGTGGTGAATGTGACGTCATCGCGGAGGTTCGCTTTGGGTGCACGCGGCATGATTTCGGCTGGCGGTGCGTCAGGCATTTTTTGAGACTCGAGCGAACAGTGCGCACAGCGCCGCAACTGATTTGAGTTGAATATGAACAACTTTAAAGAGATTTAATCTGAAACAGTACGACTGTACACACATCTAATGACCCGTGATCAGAGAGATAACCTAATGATCAATAATTCTTGGTTAGAAATAGCAACAGCCGTGGGAAAGTAGAAAGTTTTTGTTAAAAGGTTTGGAAAAACCTGAAGAATAAATTTATTAAAACCAAAAAAGGCCATGGCAAAAGTGGAGACCAGGTACACAATCACAGAATATGTTTTTCCACCATTTATAGGTTTTACACTGATGTATTTTGTTTCACTTTGAATTTAAAACAGTTTAATAGTTACAAAACTAATGAAGTCATAGAACTATTTCTTTGATAACTGGGAAGGAATATTTAATCTATCGGTTTACAATATACTGATGGCCTGTTTCTCTGGGCTTTATTGGTAATAATGATCTGTAATGTTGGACCATCATTGCCTTTTTAGCATAAGAAGAGGACAGAAACTAGCCAGACAATAATGTGTGAATTGTGGAGCAGGCTAAATTAAAAAAAAAATCCATACTTTAGTAAGTGTGCTTTTTTTGTGATAATAAAACATATATTTGTAAAGCAACTCATGTTCTCTTGTGATTAATATTATAATAAACTTTAAATGGTAAAACTGGCCGAGATATGAACAAAAGCAAGTGTTTTGTTAAAAAAAAAATCTTAAATTATAATAAAAATACTTATAGTCATTAAAATAATGTATAAAAACAATACAAAATCAATAGTTTAAAAATATTGAACTATATTATGGTATGATGTAGTTCCGGAAACTTTCTACTTCTCTGTTTATCCGTCTGACTTTACGGTGGGTTTCTTTTGACCGCCCCCTGTCGTTTTTAAGAATATCACAACGGCGAACGCGCGAGTGTAAAAGCCTCGGCTGTTTCGCGAGGTGTGCGCGCAGTCAGCGGAGATGCGCAATGCGGTGCCAGGCGCAAGTATAATTCCAGCTTTAGACTGCTGCCCCTGCTACAGAAGTCAGAATTATTAGCCCCCATTTGAATTTTTTCAATTTCAGTAAATTTTCACAGTATGTCTGATAATATTTTTTTCTTCTGGAGAAAGTCTTCTTTGTTATATTTTGGTTACAATAAAAGCATTTTTTTATTTTTTAAAAACCCATTTGAAGGTCAAAATTATTAGCCCCTTTAAGCTATATATTTTTTCGATAGCCTACAGAACAAACCATTGTTATACAATAACTGGCCTAATTATTATGCTGAAAACCCCTGCATATTATTATATGTATATATAATATGCTGTTGTTTTCAGCATTAAAACACATAAGAAGTGTGTCTTGAGCAGCAAAACAGCATTAGAATGATTTTTGACTGGAATAAGGATGATAATTTTTAGATTTTGCTTCACAAACATTGCATTTCAAATTGTATTTTAATATATAATACATTGCTCAGCATAAATAAATATGCTCAATCAAACAAATCTTGAATTTAATTACTTTCATGCTCATTGTCTCATCTTTAGGGATCTACAACATCTTACACCAAAAGCGGCTACTGTGTGAATCGCTTCCCTTCTCTGATCCCCGGCGGGAACAGACACAACTCTGCTCTGGGCAAAGGTCAGCAGCACCACTAGAGTGTGCTAAAGTACTGCGCTTCTCACAACTGATAATAACACATATGTTTCATATAGATTACACCATCCTGGACTGCATCTACAGCGACGTGGACAGAACATATTACATCCTGGACGTCATGTGCTGGAGGGGACATCCTGTGTACGACTGCTCCGTGAGTGAGCACTTCCTGTCATCACATTTACAGACATGTCAGGGACTGCTTTTACACATTTGGACACAATTTTTTTTATAATTAATTCATTCTCTAAAGTGCTATCATTATTTTTGTTGCACCAAAACAATCATAATTTAGTTTTATAATCACCATTTTTATTATAATTTATTAGATATTAGTTTATAAGATAAACAGAATGGTTTGTTCCTAATATATTTTTATACTTAATATAATGTTGCTAATATATTTTGTCACTAATTTGTATTTAAAAGTGACAGTAAAACGTGCATATCGTTACTGAATTTTTTATTCATTAAAAAATCTTGAAAATATTTCTTACAAATTTCAGAAATGTTTTCAAACATTGATCATCAAATCAGTATATGTGGACTGGTTTCTGAACAATGATGTGAAACTGGAGAGTGTAGAAATAGAGAAAGTTAAGCTTTGCATCATGGGAATAAATTGAATTTTAAATCTTATCACAATAAAATACAGTTCTTTTAATTGGTAAATTTTGTTTGTTGTATTTTTGATCATATAATGAAAATAGGGGGATAGATAGATAGATAGATAGATGGATAGATGGATAGATGGATAGATAGATAGATGGATAGATATATAGATATATATATATATATATATATATATATATATATATATATATATATATTATAGGTGGGGACAGATAAAAAAATTAACAAAATTTTTAAATTTCTCAAGCCAGGTGGTGCATTAGACCAGGGGCTCATCTCCTGTTTCCAAAATGCATCACAAACTGCTTGAGAAACTGTTCCACTATGATAATTGATGATGAAAATAAATGTTGTTCAATAAGATGTACTTGTGTTTACTAACTGTTTATTCAGTTAAACATGAATTTTAAACTGTAGGCCTACATATAGTAAGCTCGAAACAGTGATTTTTGATTACCTTAATCCGACTGAAGTCATAACTGAACTAAACAGAAATGGAGTTAAGACATGCGCATGGCAAAGATAAAATAAATCAGTTATTATATATGTTACTGTCTGGTCAGCGCTTCAGAGCACCAAGCACAAAAACAGCCAGGAAAAGTTTCTTTCCTCAGGCCATCTACCTCATGAACAGCTAAATCTCCCCCTACTGTGCAATAAATATCTGCAATACTTTCTTATACGCACGTGTACAAAGCACCTTATATCAATATACAATGCAATACTTTTTACATTCGCCTTTGTACACAGCATCGTATAACCTGTATAATTATAACAAATCTGTAATTCAAAATCCAGATTTCTTGACTAACTGCATCTCTGTTTAATGTTTATCATCTCTTTTTATATTTATTTTCTGTTGTCACATGTCACTTTATGTACACTGGAAGCTCCTGTAGCCAAAACAAATTCCTTGTGTGTGTGTGTGAAGCACACTTGGCAATAAAGCTGATTCTGATTATTAGAGATAAATTATTAAAACTATTATGTTTACAAATGTGTTGAAAAAGTCTGATCTCTGTTAAACAGAAAACGGGGGGAAAAAAATAAACAAAGGCGCTAATAATTCAAGGGGGCTAATAATTCTGACTTCAACTGTGTGTGTGTGTGTGTGTGTGTGTGTGTGTGTATAGATGTGTGTGTGTGTATATGTATATATATTCTAATAATTGTTTTATTCAATAATATTTATGCTTATTATTGTATTATCCTGTGTTATCATTTGCTAGCACATTTTAATATATTGCTACCGATTTAACACAAATGTTGAGACCTTTTAGTTTAATGCTAACATTTCCATGCTAATTATTCTGCTTTTTTAGTTATGAACAAGAAATATTTCATAGAATTGTAGCTAAATGTGTATTTCAGCTTAATCCTAATATTCCTAGGCCAGTTTTTAGGGTTTTCAAGGGATATACAATATATTTAATAGCATTGTAGCTTAATTGAATTATTAGTTTCAGTTAGAGAAAATGTAAATACAATAATAAAATAAATAACATAATCCAAATTATATATATATATTTTTTTATTATGTTATTTATTATTAGTATAATTATGCTATATTATTTAATAAAAAATATATACTATTTTTTATAATATTTTGTATTTATTTTAATCAATAATTATTATTTTTATTTTTTACAGACGGAGTTCCGCTTCTACTGGCTTCAGTCTAAAGTGGACGAGGTTGAAAGTCTTTCTGAAATTTCCAAGATTAATCCTGTAAGTGAACAAATCGCTGCACTTGTGAACGAGGCTGAACTTTGAGCTGCAGATCTTTTGTTCATGGCCTGTTTTCTCTTTGCAGTTCAGATTTGTGGCCTTGAGTAGCATCAGCTGTTCCACAGAGTCCATCCAGATGGCTCTCGCACATGAATATAGCTATAAAGTAAGAACATCCTTTACTTAGCATGCACAAAATGATTGAACTATTCGTTTATATTAGAATCAAGCACATATACATGCAACTGATATTATAAAACTGTTACCACACAATACAATTATCTGGCCAATAATGCATGCGTTCATTATTTTAAAACAAAAGCCCTATTTGCCTATAGACAGTGAGCAAATGTTACAAAATAAACATACAGTATCATATCTGATGTTGTATTGCTAGCATGTTTTAGCATTTTGGTAACTTTTTACAGCTTTTAAAACATGCTATTATCTTTTAACACACGGCTAGCATGTTAATAGCATTTTGCTAACATGTTGTACCACACTGACTGCATGTTTTCCACATTTGATTAACATTTAACTAGCTTGTGTTATGTTGTAAGCATGTTTAAACATTGCTACTAAGTTTTAACAAAATTTTGGGACCTTTTAGCTTAATGCTAACATTCCTAGGCTAATTATACAGCTTTTTTGTGATAGACAAGTAATATTTCGTAGAATTGTAGCTTAAGTTATTAGTTTGTCTTGGAATTGACTTTGTCAGTTGGAGTTTGGGCACATTTAGCATGTTTTTTTATGTTTAGCTAACATTTTGCTAGCATGTGTTATCATTTTATAACATTTGCTAGCACATTTACCACATATTAATATATTGCTACTGGGATTTAACATAAATGAGAGACCTTTTAGCTTAATGCTAACATTCCTATGCTAATTATTAAACTTTTCTAGAGATAGACGAGACATATTTCATAAAATTCTAGCTTAAGTTATAAGTTAAGTGATTTTTGTCAGTTGGAGTTTGGGCACATTTAGCATGTTTCTTATGTTTAGTCAACATTTTGCTAGAATATGTTATCATTTTAAAACATTTTCTAGCACATTTTTAATACATTGCTACTGGAAGTTAACATAATGTTGAGATATTTTAGCTTAATGCTAACATTCCTTGGCTAATTATTCAGCTTTTCTAGTGATAGACGAGTAATATTTTATAGAAATGTAGCATAAGGTGTATTTTAGCATAATGCTAACATTCCAAATGAATTATTATTTTATAATATTTTTTTTGCCAGTTGAAAAGCTTGAACAGTTTTGGTTCATTATAACATTATAAATCATTATTTATATATATATATATATATATATATATATATATATATATATATATATATATATATATATATATATATATTAGGATTTTCCAGTTTTGCTTTTGATTAGAAAATAAATGACAGCCACAGTCAGAGTTTAGTGGTTGTAGTTTTAAAAGTTAGTCACAAAAAGGTCCAAATGTGTTAATGACTTTCTCAAACCAACATAATATTCTCTCAGTCCTTCGGAATCTGTTATGCTTTCACACATAGGAGTTTTTTTAAAGGTGTAATATTACGAAACGAAGGACACAAACAGATGAACTCAATGTGTTAATAGGTGGACGGTCTTCTGTTCTACCACAAGGAGACGCACTACACCCCGGGCAGCACGCCATTGGTCGGATGGCTCAGACCTTACATGGTGGCCGATATATTAGGGATGGATGTGCCAGAGTGTCCTCTCACTAGCAAACCCGATTATGCCAGCCATCAGCTTCAGCAGATCCTGGAGCACAAGAAAACATCCACAGAAGTTCGGCCGGCAGATCAAAATGGCCGATATGAACTCGAACACCTCTCCACTCCTGAGACACCAACGCAGAACTCACACCCCGCTCAGAAAGAAAACATGGAGACTTGAAAGTACTGCATGAACGTTTTTAGAAAGCACTTTTCTCAAGCCCGAGCTGTTGAGATGAGTTTTTAATTGCTCTATTTGCAATTCAGTTCTATGGTTTCTGTGCCCATAATGGCTGAAATGAAACCCATTCTGCAATTTTATAAATAGCTTTTTAATTAGATATTCTCATTGGACGATCAGGTCATTACAACAACCATTTGAATTGTTTGTTTTAATTTGTGTTGTCAACTTCAATAAAGTTTTATTGTCTGTTTTGTTTATCCCCTTGTCTAATATGATTATGAATGAAAAGGAGTTAGGAGGGCAAGCTTGGGTAGCTAGCTTGAAGCCAGTGGTGCTGTTGGTAAGAACAGTGGTGCTGTTGGTTGCGTTTATTAGCCATCAACAAGGGTTTGTACTCGGATAGAAAGGTGTGTGAGTGTGTGTGTGTGTCTTTTTTTTGTATGTGTGTGGTTTATGGTCAAATATGCACACACAGGCAAACAACAAAAGAAATCCGATTCAGTTCTCTGCACAGTTCAGCCATGTGCAGCCAGAAAGAGCGAACTGTGGGCACAGGTGCAGTTAATCAAGCCTTTGAGGCAGTCCTGATTGGCCAGAGGTTGAGTGGGTGGTGATTGGAGTGAACCATGAACTGAACAGGGGTGACACTACTTTGAGCAGCCAGTATTTTGCAGTTTAGGAATACAAAACTTTTAAACAATGAATGTCTAAACATGTTTAAAGTTTTGATACTTACAATAAATTGATATAGTTACAATAATTAGGTTGTTTCTAGCATGAATTTGCATTCTGCTTGCATGTTTCTAGTAGGTCTGCACAATATTTGGTTTCAGCATCGATATCTCAATGTGATCATTTGCAACAGTCACATCCCAGGATATGAAATGTTGAGTTTGTAACACAATTATTCATGTGTATGTGTTTTTGATGCCTGTGATTGTATGATTTTAAAACCCATTCAGGTATTAGATATTTGACATGATTAATTTTATTGAATCATGTTTATTTGTATCATTTAGTTGCTGTACTTGAATACTGTTAGACTCGGGACATGATAAAACACTTCAATTGTAGCTTTTCCTTGATTATATCTATAGACTTTATAACTCGGAATTGCAACTTAATATCTCAGAATTGCGACTTAATAACTCAATATTACGATTTAATAACTCAGAATTGCGACTTTATAACTAAATATTGCGACTTCATAACTCAGAATTGCGATTTTATAACTCGGAATTGCGACTTCATAACTCCGAATTGTGACTTTAAAACTCGGAATTGTAACGTTAAAACTCGGAATTGCAACTTTATAACTCGGAATTGGGACTGTATAACTTGGAATTGCGACTTCATAACTCGGAAATGTGACTTTAACTCAATATTTGCGACTTTAACTGAAAATTGTGACTTTATATCTCGGAATTGCAGCTTTTTAACCGAAAATTGTGACTTTATAACTCAGAATTGCGACTTTATAACTTGGAATTGCAACTTAATAACTCAGAATTGCGACTTTATAACTCAATATTGCAACTTAATAACTTAGAATTGCGACTTAATAACTCAATATTACGATTTAATAACTCAGAATTGCGACTTTATTACTCAATATTGCGACTTCATAACTCAGAATTGCGACTTTATAACTCGGAATTGTGACTTTAAAACCCGGAATTGTGACGTTAAAACTCGGAATTGCACCTTAACTCGGAATTGCAACTTTATCATTCGGAATTGGGACTGTATAACTCGGCATTGCGACTTAATCACTCGCGTTGCGGCTTAACTCGTAAATGCGACTTTAACTCAATATTGCGACTTTATAAATCAATATTGCGACTTTATAACTGAGACTTCTGACTTTACAACTCAGAATTGCGACTTTATAACTCAGAATTGTGATTTTTATAACTTAGAAATCTTACCATAATTGAGAATTCCGACTTTACAACTCAGAATTGTGATTTTATCACTTAGAATTGTGACTTTATAACTCAGAATTGCGAATTTATAACTCAGAATTGCGAATTTATAACTCAGAATTGCGAATTTATAACTCAGAATTGCGAATTTATAACTCAGAATTGTGACTTTATAACTCAGAATTGCGAATTTATAACTCAGAATTGTGATTTTATAACTCAGAATTGCGACTTTAAAACTCAGAATTACGTTTTTACAACTGAGAATTCTGACTAAATAACTTGTGATTCGGACTTTATAACTTGCAATTCTGATTTCATTTTTTTTTTTTACATTGTATTTATTTATTTTTTTTAATTCAGTGGCGGAAACGGGCTTTCAAAGATTTCAGACCGTAAGTACCATGGTAAACAATATAGAGTGTGTCAGAAGTTCTCACTCAACGATTATGCGAATATGAAACCAATGTACCCCAACGTGTGATTGTGTGTTGATCTAAATGATGTTTAGTTTCTAGAACCGAGTTGTGCTTTACATATGAAATGCTGGCCTCATCAAAATCTCCTCAGCCTGAATGTCAAAACACCACGTTTTTTTTTAGCAAGACAAACTGTGCAAGAGGTCACAGTGATGGAGCTATTGTTGATCTGAAACCACAAGGTCGTTTCCTCACAGAAAAACCAAAGCGTAATCGGAGAGTTTGGTTATTAGTCAGTCTCTGCTTTCCAGGAACCCACGGCACCTGTCAACCCAGATCAGCCTTCCCGGATCCCCTCATGAGCAGCTCGGCTCTAAAAGCACCGAGTAAAGCCTGTCAACCAATAAAAAACGTCAGCAGCCGAGGCTATTCGCACGACATGCTTTTTATGTGTAGATTAAGGCTATGAGTGAAAGCGAAAGCACTTGTGAGCGCTTTTCCAGCATGATGTCATCACGATCTCCTGTCAGTCATTCCGGAAACACGCCCACAGGAAGCTCTTTGTTTTTATCGGCTCGGTTTCTTGGCATGTTTTCTTGCGTCAGCTCACTGAGACTTTAATTCGCCTTAAACATAAATGCTAGATGGAAACTTTCATTTAACAGAACTGACATTAAATATAGATACTTAAGAGGTTCTGTAAAACTACTAATTAATTTTCTTCCAAATATAAAATAAATATTACATTTTGTTTAGCATAAGATAAAATAAAAAAGTTTTAGACAATGTTAGATTAATTTTTAGAGAAACAATCAATTATATCTGGATGCAGCCTTTATGATGCAAGCTGAGATTGCATCACTTAGCGATGCAATGTCAGACACAATGCACTCAAATGGAGTGAGGGATTCCACTGTGATGGGTAGGGTTAGGGGTGGGGTTAGGTAAGCCCATTAAAAAGCATTGGATGCAGCTCAGATTGCACTGCACCAGGACTGCATCCAGACCCCTCGAAACAATACCAAAGTTTAACATCTTATGAGTAAATAAATCAGTATTTGGCTAGTGTACTTTTATTTTAAATCGCAACAAATTAGGATTTTTGATATTTTTGACCAATTATCAAACAAGTAAATCACAATATTATTTATTTAAAGTATGAACGAAATGTAATTAGACTCCAATTAATTAAATTGAATATAGTAAAGTAAACTTATGCGCTAGTTTGTCTGTAATCACACACACTAGATATGAACCTAGAAAATATTAAAGTAATTTACATAACTAAGTAAATGTGTTCATTTGTGTGAATGACGTTCGAGTCTCGAATGAATCATTCCTGTAATATTTCTGCGATTCACAAATCACTCGGCTCACTTGGAATCATAACAAGGAATCGTTTGATTTATACACTCATTACAGCTAATACGACAGTATATGGATGAGAAGTGATCATAAAAATGACATAACTTGCCGCATAGGAACTGCGAACTAGGAACGCCTTTAACTAGTAAACAAGTTACTTAAAAGTGCCGTTCAAACGAACCGATACACTGCATTGACTCGGCCTCCAGAGGTTTTTATGAATGGAGAGGAGGAGCGTGGTTCAGCCTGCAGTTCTCCATTTTGTCCAACAGGGGGAGCGTCATCTTTCATCTTTCACTGCTTCTTTTCAGGAGCGTCCGATCTTCATTCGCGTTCTCACGTTATCACTTCTTTAATCGGCGGCCGAATGACGCGGAACTGGTCGTTTAAGATTATTACACATCTCCAAACAATCTAACAAGCCTTCGACGAGATTCAACAGAGCACCGTGATGAAATTCTCCCTTCGTCACGCAGGCGGACGGACCGAAGCTCCGCTGGAAAGCCATTAGTGTTTATGTGTGTAAATACAATATATCATAGACTGTAAAAACCCGGAGCGAATCATGAACGCGCCGCTCGTGCCGTGCTGAAGTGGCGGCCGCGCGCGCTCTCTGTCGAGCTGAAAAACGGCGCGAGTCCTGCTTCTGTTGTTAGCCTGAACACTGCTAACGGGCCTAAAAGAGCCCGGTGTGATCTCTGCAGTCCGGTTGAACAGCTGTCCGAGCTCCAGGAAGGTCCTCCAGCGGTGCAGAGCGCCGGAGAGTGGATGATGGCCGACCGCCTGAGCGCTGAGGAGGAGCAGGTATCAAATACCATCACAATCCGGTTCACATTGATTCTCTGGTCCAGCGGTTCTGTTGCTAAGCAACCCGGGACTGACCATTTGACTAGAGACACCCTGTTTGGGTTTTACCACGGTAAACAGAGTAAAAGGTAGAATTTTAGCCTGTGGGTCATATTTGATTCCATATAATTGTCCTAAAAATGTAAATGTAGTGGCTATTTACTGTCCCTCAAGTGGTGTCAAGTCTTTTTGAGATACTTGATTCTGTTGAACTCAAAAGGAGATATTTTGAAGAAAGTTGATAACCTCTAATTATTAACGGTCTTGGCTGAAAAACAAATACAATGGAAGTTAATGGTTACAGGTTTCCAGCTTTCTTCAGAATATCTTCTTTTATATTTTAACAAAAATGGTTGAGTAAATGATGACAGAATTGTAATTTTTAGGTGTACTATCCTTTTTATTTTACACTATTAAATAAAAGTTGGTTGACAGTTCGCCAAAAAAGGAAAACTGTTATGCTTTACTCATCCTCCACTTGTTCCAAAATTTTTCATAGTTTCTTCCAACATTCATCAGAATATCTTCTTTTGTGTTTGACAGAATCACTTGAGTATGAGTAAATGATGAGGACATTTTCATTTTTGGGTGGACTATCTCTTTAATAATTATAACATATTTAACAACAAAGATTTCAATAATCCTGAATGTAAATAGTGTTGTCAGTAATTTAAGCATATTGAAATACATTTTGAAATATGCATACTTTGAAAAATAAAATAAATCTGCGCGCACAGATTTTTATCCCATAATTGATTCTGTTCATTCACTTGTGTAAATGTGTGTAAACTTATATTTATTCAGTTTTTAAATTAGTTTCAGTAATTTTATTGACTAAAATGAAAATATTCAAATAATTTGTTTACAATACAGTGTGTAAAGTAATATGTTCTGTCTTTTAGTAGAGATATTATATGAAAGAATTGTTTTGTTCACCAAATAAAGAGGATCTAATTGGAACTGCATTGTAAACATTAAATAAAAGTTAAAAATGTATTCATATATTAAGGTTTTAGTTATACTCTCAAAATCATTCATCATAAATCCGCAGATCTTTACCAAAATTCTGCGCAGAGATAGCAAAAAATGTCCGCAGATTCCGTCTGGCCCTTATGATTCAAAGATATAAATGTAGATTTGCATTTGTGAGCAAACATCTATTGCAACTTTGGCATTTCTCTCAGAACTGTGGCTTGTGACTTTCTCAGAACTGTGTATCTTGAAGGTTCGACATAAAAAGTCTGATTTGCGGTCTACCAGATGCAGACTCAGGATTGTTACAAATAAATCCAGGGTTTCTGAGAAATCAAGTTCGAGTTGTGAGATGCAAACTCAGAAGTGCAAGATATGAACTTGGAATTGGGACACATATACACACAGAACTGCAAGAAACAAAGTCTGAATGGTGATAAATTAAGTCAGGACTAATAAAGTCAGCATTGAGAGCAAAAGTAAGAGCCTAAAACTTGCATTTCAATAGCTATTTCAATCCTGAATTGAAACTATTCTTAACTTCAACTTTTTATGAAACATTTTCGATAATGTTAGCTTGTGTAATACATATTTTATTGCAATAAATCTTTGTATTTTTAAAATTACATCAGATTTATTAATAAATTATTCAAGTTTTAGGCGGTTCATTTTGTTGTGGCGACCCCGGATTAATAAAGGGACTAAGCTGAAAAGAAAATGAATGAATGAATATTTAAGTTTTTAGTGTTTTGAGGGAATTAGTGTACTCTGACCTACAGTAACCTCTGATCAGCTATTTTAGAGGTTACTGTAGGTCAAACTATGCGCCTAATTTGACTTTACTTTCAGGCTATATGTAAATAAAAGCTCGTATTTTACAAGAAAAGTGTCTTGTGAACACATATGGTGTCTATCAGGGCTTTAGATCTGCCACTTTCAGACTGTTGAGCGAATTTGTTCTCACTTAAAATGATTTGGTGTGATTATGCATTCATAATGGTTTGAACCGTTATAGGGGTGGTCAAATGTATATTTATATTGTCTATTATATTAATTAATAATTTAATTATTTAAGATACAGATATTTAGAGATATGAAAACAATTTCTCACTATTGAAAGGCTGTTGACATTCAGGGCTGATCTTGCATTAAGCATTAATTAATACTGTAATTCGTACCCTGCCTATAAACTCTCAATGTACATATTTTAACTTAAGACTGACAACCTTAATCGTCTTTAATTTACTCATCACTGTTATGGAGGTCTGAGAATGCCTGTTTTTTTACATAAAATTTAAGTAATGCAGTTGCGTTCAGATTATGAGTCTTTTTAATGCATCTGTGCGAATGTTGTCTGTATGTATGCAAAGTTTGTTTTAGTAGAACATTTGTAGAATGCTGCGGAGGGTCTGTACAGCTATGAATTGACAATTATAATTATGCGTATATTTTTTTTAAGTGGCTAAAATTCTGTTTTGTTGTCCTTCAGTAATCTTTTATATAATACTTGTATTATATAGTACTTTTAATTTTTGTCGTTTTTCTACACTCAAAAAAGGCTTTTGCTGTTTATTTAAAGTACTTATTTAAAGGGCACCTCTTTTACCCCTTTTACAAGATGTAAAATAATCCTTTAGTGTCTCCAGAATGTGTCTATAAAGTTTCAGCTCAAAACACCCATCAGATAACTTATTATAGCCTCCAGATTCTGCCCATTTTGGTGTCTGAATACATTGTAGCTGTATTCAGTGGCTTTAAATGCAAACGAGCTGCTTCTCTCTGCCCACCGTTCCCACGTGTGTGTCTGCTTCTACAGCATTGTGAGATAGACATCAGTCAGTGATACCGACAGACACAGATGAAGCTGAAATATAGCTCATTAGTCAAAAATACCAAGTTTATTTGATGTATTGAAGCTTGTTTCTTCAAGCCTTTGTGAAATGATGAGTCTCACACAAATGCTGTTTGCAGTACACACACACACACACTTATATTGGTGTTTACTGACACCATGCTGCCGTGGTGAATATAGCGGTTAAGAATTATATATTGATTTTACTGTATTTATTACAAACATGCTCTGTTTTAAAAAAAGTTTCGATCTTCTAAAACTCACAGAGAGTTGTAACAGATATTTCAATTTCAGTTTATTTGCAAAGAAATGTTCTGTGGACGTGTGTACATGTTATTATAGAAACATGGTGTCTGTTGATCAATTTGCTGGCGGGGAAAACCACACTCCTACGTCACGTTGTGGTGGGCCTCAAATTTACTGGGTTTTGCTTACTTGGTTTGCTAACGGCCACAAGCGTTTTACATGCTACTTAGGCGCCCTGCGCGCCTCGCGTTTTAACCGCCTGCTGCGCCTTACATTTTCTCCCCTGTGGCTGTGCACTCAAAGTTGAAAAAAGTCAACTCAACTTTGATTCTCCAATCAAATGAAAGCAGAGGCGGGGTTTCCGTTAAGGGGCTTACAGGGGTTATGTTGTCAAGACAACAAGAGAGACTTTTGAAGATGGCGGAGAGACTTGTGGTTGCTGTTCTGAGTTATCCGTAGCTGTATGACCTCACAAATCTTGAATATCGCAATATTATTAGATATTAAAGTTTTATTAATATTAACAGCACTCTCGAAAAATACTCCGCTGATTCAGTCGTTGCCTAGCTACATAAATACACGTGACATGAGCTGACCATCAGCTGTTACCACAGGGAGTGTGGGCGCGCGCGCCTCTGAATGAAGTCTACTTTAGTGAACAGAACCTGCATAGGCTGTGAATAACAGCTAATAAAGTTGTAAATAACATTCAGTTTATGGCACAGAGTGATCGTTTGGAAGCCGCGCAGGAAGTGAACTGCTCTTGGCAGTGAAAATGAAACCGAAAGCGCACGCACAGTTGCCAGATGTAGCTGACTGATTCCAGGTTAAAAAGTATCCAAAACCCGCCAAAATGCATAAGTACCCACCCAGTCTTCTGTATTCACGAAAATCACGTCAGTGACAGATTTTAAGCAGGAAATTACAGATTGCAAGCATATGTCCCAAACACAATAATTCAACATCAGAATAATCATCAGCATTAATGACCAGGACAAATCTAAAGTCTGTTCAAGTCCACCATTCCAAGTCTATACAAAACGAATAAGTTAATTTAATTTCTTCAAGTTCTCCCAACACAAAAAATTTATTGTGTTGAAACAGCATTTTTACAGTGTATGGGTGCATGTAACATGAAAAAAAACCTACTTTTTTTTTTTTTTTTTTTTACAAACATGTTTTTTTTTAATTGTCACATATTAATTTGTATTCATTCTATTGACGTTTAGTGTCTTGACATCACTTTCCAATTATTTAAACTTTAAGAAGATCACTTTTGCTGAAAAAAACAGTTTCGTTATGATGTCGTCTTCCAGGAAGTTTCCCTTTCACATTAGAACGAGTGCTGGTTAAAAAAAGCAACAATTCTGAGCAATAAATAGAGACTGTCACACATTTTTACCATGAATTGCAGAAAACAACAAACCAAAATGGCATTCGCTGCAACTGCAGTTTAGATACCAAAACATCTTAAGAATTATTGGATGTCATTTAAAATATAATGCACGTAGTATTTACACTTATCATATCCACTTATTGCTTAATGTTTTATATGTATTTATAAATACAGGCCAGTAAGTAAGTAAAATTATGTTATTTTATTTTTGATTCAAACACACACACACACACACACACACACACACACACACACACACACACACACACACACACACAAAATTCACACATGCGCTATAGGTGAATTAAATGAACAAAATTGGCCATACTGTATGTGTATGTGTGTGTGTGTGTGTGTGTGTGTGTGTGTGTGTGTGTGTGTGTGTGTGTGTGTGTGTGTGTGTGTGTGTGTGTGTGTGTGTGTGTGTGTGTGTGTGTGTGTGTGTGAATGTGAAAGTGTAAAGGTGTTTCGCAGTACTGGGTTTCAGCTGGA